CATCTTCTTCCGGTGGTCAGTACAATTCTTAAGGAGTACCTTCTACACCATGCTGAGATAGAAGGCAGTATAACCTCCTTGAGCAAATAGCCAACTGACAAATATCCCATTTAAATCTAGAGTGAATGATGGACACAACCGTGAAGAGCTCCCCTTCCCAAGTCATCCACTGGTTTGTGCAGGAAGATCCAGGACATGTCAGGGAGGGTAACTGCTCCTCACACTATCAAAAACACTAGAAAGCTTTAGAACATTTATATCTGGATCAAACTAGATGTATCAGCAGCCATGGGGCCAACCGATGGCCACCAACGCCATTTTAGAGGAGAATTTAGCCATTTTTAAAATTGCTGTGAGGCAGCATGGCTACAAAAGGCTATCATATAGACTGCCTATTGCCACTATGCCACCTCAGAAATTTTAAAATGGCTAAATTCTCCTCTAAAATGATGTTGGCGGCTACAGGTGGGCCATGTGGCCACTGTCACATCTAGTTTGGCCTTCTGTAACGGGCCTCCACAACAATGAACACATTGTTCTCCCTTGTGGGAGAAAGTGGCGTTTTGCATTGTCTCACCTCCTCCACTCTAACCTCACAATTACAGCCCTGTGAGGGAGGTTAGGCTGAGTAAATGTGATGGGACCAAGGACCTCCAGTGAGCTTCCATGGCAGAGCAGGGAATCAGAACTGGTTGTCCAGGACACTTTAACCATTAGGCTTAATATCCACTGACAGACCTATCCTTTTTCTAACCTGCTTTTAAAGCCACACAACCCAATGGCCATCACCATTTCTTGTAGCAGAAGATTTACATTAACAGTATATTGCATGAAGCAATCCTTTTATGGATCTAAATTTATAGTCAGTCAGTTTCAGTGAGTGAATTCAAACCTGTAGTATTTTGAAGAAGAGAGAAATTCCTCTCTGTACACTTTCTCTCAATCTTTCCGGAGTCAAGAGAGTGTCTTCCAGGAAAATTTAATTTTATACCAAACATGAATGCAAATCAATATTATGGAGAACAGTGTACCTTCACAATAATAACAAGAGAAAGTGAACTCAGATTTTGATGCCTAAAGACAAAGGAGATCTCTCATCTCTGTATACTTTTTAAAATGAATTTGAGAAGTCTTGTCATTGATGCAATGATACAAGTCATTTCCACACAATTCCTGGGACCCTCTAGCCAGGACATTTCTTCTTACAGACACATGGACATGGGTTTGCTGGACTGGGATTTGCTGACTGGGAGGCCGAAAGGCAGGATAGTGTGTTGAAATTGAGTCCGGGTATTGCTCTTCTCCTGCTCTTACCCTGCTTCAGTGTTGATTGGGGCTGAGAAAGACCAGCTCCCAACACTATCCAAAACACGGATTCACAGTTCTCTGGATAATTGTCATTATGGGGGAAATGGTTTCACTGTAACTGACTGAATATATTCACATATTAGCTTGGATCAAATACAGCCTAACGGACAAAACAGTTCCTGCCTCTTTCTTACCTCCCCTTCCCACAGCACCCTAAAATGTCATCCAAAGGGCTCTTCCTAGGGGTCCCCTGTCCCCCTAGACCATCATTTTGGGGATATTTTGGACGAGGCAAGGAATTCATACTCAGGGAGCAGAAACAATTCTGTCAGCAGAAGTGCTCCACTGGTTCCAAGTCAATAAATTTTCTCACAACAAACTAAAGAAATAAGTGATGACCATTTCAGATTTTTAGCTGAGGAATAAAGAGCGGTGGCTCTAGTGGTTAAGACACTGAACTGCAGACCGGAAGGTCGGTAACCCGAGTGACACTCAGGTTGAGACCCGAGTGACACATGACAAAGTGAGCTCCCATCTCTGGTCCCAGCTCCTGCCAACCTAGCAGTTTGAAAGCAAGAAATTGCAAGTAGATAAATAGGTACCACTTCGGTGGGAAGGTAACAGCATTCTGTGCGCCTCGGTGTCTAGTCATGCCGGCCACATAACCACAGAAACATCTTCAGACAGCGTTGGCTTTTTGGCTTGGAAACGGAGATGAGCACTGCATCCCTAGAGTCGGATTCGACTGGCTTTCGAGCAAGGGAAACCTTTACCTTTACCTAATAAGAGTATGGTCCAGGTCACCCAATCATTCCAGAGGTGAATTGGGTCTTGATCCTCTGATTCCCAAAACAAGGGAAGGCTATTTACTCATTGAATGAAAGTATATAGGCAAGCAATGACATTTGCCAGCATGGAGTCTGTTGTATGATGCATTATTCCTCACTACCTGTCTTCTTAAGTATAAGTTCTAACCAGCTAGGTAATGGGAGATGACCGTGAAACCCACAGACCTGAAAGCTGCCAGAACATACAATGCCCATCATGCTATTTAAACTACTTTGGGACTCACTGTGGACAGCAGAAATTATCAAGGTTTTGTTTAAAATCTCATTCCTGTAAATAAGAAGAATGTCGTCAGTTCTCACCCCAAATGAAGATGCCAAGAGCTTAGTTATATACTTCGGTGAAGGTCCAACTTCATACAGCAACTATAAGAGAACCACAGCTGATATTCTGTTTTCCCCACATTCAGTTCTAAGCACAGATTAAAATCGGGAACATTGTAATTAGTGCTGAGAAAATCTGAGCACTCAAGAAGATGACCCAGGGGAAATAAAAACATGAGGTGGGCTTTTAAAGGCATCAAACAATGAAAACAATTTTTGAAAATTTATACTACAAAGGAAGCCCCTTCCACAGCAAGGGCCAAAATGGACATTACCAAAATCTATACCAGTCTGTAAAAAAGCAGTCTGTGTGCCTGTGCAGAAATTATTTGGATCAGGGCCATCCAGCTAGGAAACAAGAGACTTAACCCTTCCAGCCCTGCACAGCTTTGCTAGCAGAAACTAGGGCTCTCTCCATACCAAGGACTTTCCAAGTTTCAGCCACCCAACTGGTGCATTATTTTTCATGTTTACTCATGACTTTGTCCTCTATTTGTGTACAGACCGTTAACATCCATCCTCTCACAAAAAAACTGCTTTATTTAAAACTTGTAACACCCCCTCCACACCAATATTTCTTGGTCGGAGTCAGGAAGTTTGCAAGATGCACAGTGTTGGTGTTTTCATTTCTTTGATTTCATTCTATCTTCTTTTACAGTGCAATCTTAAGGGGGGTGTGAGCTGACCCTTATGATGGCTTATATTGGAGAAATGCCAGTGTAAGGACAGGTAACACTGGTAAAGGGCCCTAGCTGCTCTTGGACCCTAGCACAATTCTGGGGTGGCTGCACATCAGCGTAACTCAAGCATGGCTGGAGTTAGCCCACTCTCTAAGCCATTTCAGGCAAGGAACGCCCCCTGACAGAGACACAAAGTTGCACCAAGAAAAAAAGTAGTGCAGCCCATAGGTAGCCATTGAATTGGGGGGGGGGAAGCAAGTGTCCCCCTGTAAGGATTAGCTGTAAGGATTAGCAGAACCACTATTTCCATTCCTCTGAGCATTTCTGTTAACATTACTAGCTGCATTGGGATTCTCCTTTTGTCTGAGATCTAAAAACTATGTGGTTGCTACGATTTACTCCTCTACCAAGTGGCACTCTTTCAGTGTGACCACGTGAGCCAGGAGGCTTTTGTCTTGCACCATTTTTAGATACACAATTTTTTGGCAAGATGATTTTCACCACATATAAAACATTCAGTTTTCTTTTCCCTTTTAAATCTGCATGTATATTTCAAACTCAAAACAGACATCTCATTAGACAAAGCATCCTAACTAGTTCTGGAGTCATATCCTTCCTTTAAAATCATACCTTTAGAAGTGTTGGCATTTAAACTGGCAAGAAAAAGAGCTCTAAAAGGCATGGGTAAAAGGTAAAATCTCAAAAGGTAAAATCTTCATTTGAAACAATCTTTGAACATTTGGTGGCATGCCCAGCTCAGGCAAGGGAACCACACAGCAACTTGTACCCATGTTGGATCCCGGGGCTTGCCACTCTGCAGTGTCCTCCCCTGCAGGCAGGCTGGGAGAATGGGGTCATATTGAGAGGCAGGCAGCCTGCCCGATGCTGGATCTATCCCCATGCTGCACCCGTGCTCCTGTGGTTGTAGCCAGTAAAGCTGTGATCTATTTTTTCCCCTTACCTGTTTGTGTGCAGGTGTTCTCCCTCACCCCCGGGTTGCAAACAGCTATAGATACTGCCATTGCACCGTTTTTGGCATCTGAAACAACCCAGGGCTGTAGGAGAAAGTGTTATTCACCCTGTCAAAGGCTGTGCATGCAAGCGTTCAGTGCATGTGCAAGCTCCCAACAGAGTGAATAACAATCCCCCCTGTGGCCCTCCTTTTTGGTTTCAGCTGCCAAAAATGGTGTGAGAGGAAAGCAGGAGCCCCTCCTCCCCTTGCACCACTGTCCCAATGAAAATAGGGCCCATCACTGCTTTTTACACAGGAGTTGCCACCAGGACTTGCAGTAGAAGTATCCCCATGGTGAACTCATGGAAAAATATAATGTCCAGTTTGGCTCAGAGCAACAAAATTCTGAGCTATAAATTGGTGACTTTTTATTTTTCAGAATCATTATGAAGCAGACCCAGTACTTCAGCTCTAGGTACCGTGTATTAACAAGGCGAAAACAGTGCTGATTTCCAGGGAAATAAGAAGATCTGCACATCTGTGGCTTTAAAGAACTGGTGAGTGAATTATAATAGCAGTGGTCCAATCTAATCACAACAGTCTGTAGATATCCTTGCAGTTCAACTTACCGATATACAGATAAATATGAAGATTAATGCTGGATATACAGGAACCAAAAAAACCAAGACGTAACTGGCAATATTTGCTTCAAGGCGATGTAAGAAAATAGCAGCCATAGCGAAAATCGCAATCATCTAAAATATAAGAGGACAGTATTGTAGAAAATATTTTGTAAAATTCTACCCATTTTCGATTGCTCCTCCTTATGTCAGGAACCAGAATATGGTAATATCTTCCCCTGGAAATGACTCTTCAAAATCCCTTTTCTGTGAAGATGACTGGAAGGATTTAATCATCCTCCAACTGATTCAAAGCCTATTTATAACAATATTTGCTCATACTTATTCTCTTAACACCCTTGTTGCTCCCATTCCTCCTTTCCGCCTACTCCTCTGTTATTCCACCCCCTGTTAAAAATTATATTTCAAGTTCCTTTGGGAAGAGATCTTATTTTTTATTTATGGCATGCTTACAATATCATGAACATTAATACTGCTAATAAATCATTTTAAAAGGGTATTTCCTTATTTGTTTTGCTGCATGCGATAAATAGATCTATTGTTTAAAAAAACCTTTTAACACCGATGAATACAGAAAACAGTAATCAGAGTATTTTACTTTCAGTATAAAATGTAATATGCATAGATCACTGAAGACTTTCCCCCCCTACACTTTGGTTATGCAAAAGGTGTACTGATCATCATCTGTTCCCCTAATCCAAACAGATGCATCCAATCAAAGAAATTCAGCAAAAGGTCTCTGGCTCAGTCTAGAGTAATACGATTGTGATTGGGAGCAAAATGCCACAGTGAGCAGTACCAAGATACTGTGGTGCACAGACTGAAATTTATTCTACTCTGCTGGCTCTGAGTATGTGCTACAGGGAGTACAGGGATCCCTCCTGTACAACTACTGATCACATCTCGGGAAGGGTTCTGCAGTGAGATGGAGAGAGTAGGGCTACCAACTTCAGATCAGAAATCCCTGGAGATTTGAGGATAGAGGCTGGGCGTAATAGAGTGGGAGAGGGAGAGGAGAGAGCTCAGCATGGATGTGATGCCAATAAAGACCACCCTACAAGGCTGCCACTTTTCTCCAGGGGAACTGATCTCTACTCTGGAGATCAGTTGTATTTCCAGGAAGTTTGCAATTAATAAAAAAGATAACTTAGTACTTATTTGGTGCTTTTAAGAATGGCTTTTCCATATACAATTTGTATCAGTGACACTTCTGGCAACCCTATAAGGGAAACTAGAATCATTAAGTCCACATTAAGTCCACCCTCCTCCTGGCTTACGCTGGGGGGGTCGATCGGCAGAGACAAGGAAAGAAGAATCGGCAGCGGCAAGAAAGCAATGGCGGCAGAAGCGACCCAGGAAGGCGGCGCCTGGTCGAACAGAGGCAGAGTCGGAGTTGAGCAGCGCGATGACGTAGATGCAGCGCGGCAGGAGCCATTGGAACATTGGCCGAAGCTGCGCCCGGGGCGCGCCACTCCAAGGAGAGAGAAAATCGGGACTGCCTGCTCGAGCCTGACCGACTGCCAGCTGGAGCGCCAGAACAACAATGAAGCTGCCAGAGAAGGAAAAAGTCTATGCCGGACAAAAAAAGGGTGCTGGTAGGTCTCCCCTCCCCCTCATTATATTGTGGCCCTAGATAGGATTAACTACTACACTGTAGTATTCTGTGAACCACTCTGAGACCCATTAGGGGTCATGGGCGGTATATAAATCGCATGTAAAAAAAATATATTAAAGATGGAGGCCTGCTAGACAATGCTTTATGATCAGAAATTAGATCAATGACTTTCCAGCTCAGAACTCTAGTCTTAACTACTAGGCTAAACCAGCCAAACCAGCTTTGAACTAGGCTTGCCCTGTTTCACAGTAGATTGTTCAAAATCTTTCTTCAACAAAGTTGGGTGGGGGCTGAAACAGAGCAGGTTGAAACTGAATCCAACTAAGACAGATGTTCTGTGGCTGGGACTGGGGTACAGATTACACACCCTTGACGGAGCGCCACTAACACTGGCACAATGCATCAAGAGCTTAGAAGTGATCTTGGATGCCTCTTTAAATATGGAGGCCCAAGTCATGCATATTGCCAAACTGGCATTCTTTCATCTGCATCAGACTTGGCAACTAGCCCCATTCCACCTTTGAATTGTCAGCAGGCTGTGCCGAATTTACTGTGGAATATATGTTCCTCCTTGATGAAAGTGTAAGCTTATTATCCTGGACAGAAGACCGGGAGATTATCACCAAGGTCATTCCTGTGGGGGGTTTGAATTTTTCCCCTCACTGTTTCATTCAGCATAGGTTCATTCTCACTGTAATAGCGACTGAAGAAGACCTCTTATGGAAACAAGGGAACTATACTGGGACCTTGTATTGCTGTTACTGTTATCTCTGAATGTAATAACTCCACACTGTTATTGTTATTTTTGAATATTATTGTTCCCAATTTTATAGAAAGTCTCAGCTATTGGTTAGTTTGATTGCTTAATAACATCCTATTTGGTCAGCTGACAACTGGGCTTTTCTAAATTTTGTGAGTTCATTGGTACTGATGTTGTATTTGACTACAGTGTTGTACTGTTTTCAATAGAGTAATATTTGTGAATTCTTACTGGCAGAATTTTTATATGATTTGGGAGCCTCTGAGATGCAGCCCATTTTTGGAGTTTAACATATTTGGTTACAGGAACATCAAGGACCACACATATACATTCAGTGCTCCGCCAACTGGACTGGCTCCCAGTGGAATACTGAGTCAAGTTAAAGGTGTTGGCGTTAACCCATAAGGCCTTGGTGGACAGGGACCAATGTATCTACGGGACCGTCACCTCCATTATGTCCCTGGAAAGACACTGCGCTCTTTGGACAACAACATGATGGTGGTCCCTGACCCGAAGGATATCTGGCTGTCCTCAACCAGGGGTAGGGCCTTTTCAGTCCTGGTCCCGAACTGGTGGAACTCTCTTCCAAATACCATCAGGGCCCTGTGAGACCTTATGCAATTCTGCAGGGCCTGCAAGGCAGAGATGTTCTGCCAGGCCTTTGTTTGAGGACAGTGACAGCTTTCATCTCAGCTGGCATCCTCCTCTGTTTTCCATGCTTGTATTGACCTCTTCCTCCCTACCCACAAAGCGGCCAGCAGTCTGCAATATGGGAACAGCTAATTAATATCCTTTTACAGTTCCACAGGGCCTGTAAGATGGAGCTCTTCCGCCAGGCTTTTAAATAGGAGCCGCTACTATTGTTACCATCAGTGATCCTACTGAACTTCTGGATCCTAGGTCTGGCCCAGTTGTATCGCTAGGCCCATCGGCTCGAGGGATGATGATCGGGCGAACAACGTGGATATAGATGTGGAAAGCACGCCATCTAATCTTTAGTACTGCGAGCATTTTATTGCTCATTGTTAGCTTATGTAATGAATGAGTATGGGTTTTATGTAGTTTTAAATTTTTATGGCTATGCCAGTTAGGTACATTGTACCGCTTTGTTAGCCGCCCTGAGCCTGTTCGCAGGATGGTTGGGATATAAATATAATAAATAAATAAATAATAAGTGCTTGTATTTGCAATCTGTTTTTTTAAAAATGTATTCGGCTCCTATCTGGTGGAATGAGCTCCCAGAGGAGATCAGGGCCCTGTGGGACCTAGTACAGTTCCGCAGGGCTTGCAAGACGGAGCTCTTTCGCCAGGCTTTTATGTAGGAGCTGCCACTACCACCACTACAATGGTGTTGGCAACAAATGGAGCAAGGAGACGGCCCTACGGAAGACCTGGCCACATTATAGCGCTGGGTTGGTACTGCTGGACCAGACAGTTTAACATCTACTGGACACTACCTACCTCCATGAAAAACCACCTACCTCTAATGAATGACCATCTTGTTTAATTTTGAGCACTTTATTTGTAATATTTGTTGGTTTTTACTGATTTTATCCTGTTTTATGTATGGGCATATCTTGCCCTCTTGTAAGCTGCCTTGAGCCTGTTCGCGGGGAGGGCGGGGTATAAATTCAAAAATTAAATAAATAAATAAATAACCAAGTAAATTTTTTTCATAGCCAGTTACAGATAATAAAGTCAGTTAATCAAATCATAAACGTTATTTCTTTCAGGATTTTTTAATGTGTGTGTGTTACTGAGGTAACTGCAATTTAATAAGAGGTAACTTCATTAGAGAGCAGATTCTGGTGGGTAGCCATGTTGGTCTGAAGCAACAGAACAAAGTTTGAGTCTAGTGGCACCTTTAAGACCAACAAAGTTTAAAGCTTATACCCAGAATTAAACTTTTGTTTGTTTTAAAGGTGCCACTGGACTAAAACTTTGTTCATTAGAAATTGGCAGACATAAAGTTGTTGTTGTTCAGTCACACAGTCGAGTCCGACTCTTCGCAACCCCATGGACCAGATCCCGCCAGGCCCTCCTGTCTTCCGCCGTCCTCTGAAGTTTGCTCAATTTCATGTTCATTGCATCTATGACACTGTCTAACCATCTCATCCTTTGCCGTCCCCTTCGTCTTCTTTGA